ACGCGCCTCCATGCAGGCGGAGATGGTCCTGAAGGAGGCAGAGGCAGAGCGTCAGCGCAAGCGCATCACGGAGCTGGAGGAGATGCAGGAGCGTCTCCAGGAGGCCCTGCAACAGGAGGTGAAGGCTCGGCACGACGAGGAGTCTGTGAGATACGCGCAGGCCAGGTAGGACCAGAGCATCCCTGGCTCTCCTCAACCAGGGCAGGGCTGGGCGTAGGGCTGTCAGACACGCTCCTCACACTCCTCGGGGTGATGCCATGGCCTTGTCTGCTCCCCGAGGAACCAGCGTGTGCCCGTGACCGCCCGTGATGGCAGCAGGGCTGGGGGAAGCTGGTGGATGAAGTGGCAGAGGGATGTCCTCACCTCTTGCGCTTTCTTGACAGGCTACTGGCTGAGGAAGAGGAGAAGCTGAAACAGCTGATGAAATTGAAGGAGGAGCAGGAAGAATACATCATCAAAACTCAGCTGGAGAAGCAGGTCCTCAAGCAGGAGATGGAGAACAAGAACAAGTGTCTGGAAGAGGCCCAGAAGCAGCTGGAGGAAGTGAGAGTGAACAGGCAGCGGGTGGACCAAGACGTCATGGTGAGCGTCACCTTGGTGACACTTCCCATCGCGCTACGAGCCCCGGGGGACTTCCTGGCCCTCCTCTGAGACACCTCCATGCTGGGGAGAACCTGGGGACTTTGGGGACCCGCTGACACATACCCCTGCTGAGCCAGGCTGGATTTAGGGTGTTACATTAGCTGCAGCAGGGAAAGCAGCCCAGAGGTTTGCCTGGGAAGGGATGTCTGCCCTGCGAGGCACATCCCGTGCTCCTGGTAGAGCCATGCCAGGCTCGGCGCTCAGCTTGTGAGGCCAGCAAAGCGGGGAGGAGGCTGTGGCCACTTTGCCCCCATTTTGCTGCGCTGGCAGATGCTATTAGGAGAAGTCTGCTGACGGGGCAGGCGCTGGAGAAACCACCAGGCTGGCACTTCCTCACCCTGCGGCTCTGGGTTTTTCTGATCCGTGCCAGGGGCTGATTTGGTGGCTGGAGTGACACAAGGGTGTCCTGCTGGGGGGACAGCACTGGTGTTGTATATAAACCTATAGAGGCTCAGTGCTCTCCTCCATCTCCTTACAGGCGGCCCAGAGGAAGCTGCGGCAGGCCAGCACCAACGTCAAGCACTGGAACGTGCAGATGAACCGACTGATGCACCCCATCGAGCCGGGAGGTAGGAGACCTTCCCCCGGGGCATGCAACTCCGTGCTGCTGCCGGTTCTCCTGCCCCGACCCCCTCTTTGGGATCCTCAGAGAAGCACAGTCACCTCCGGCAAAGAGACCCTGTGCTCCTTTTCCTTCACCACGAGGTAAATTTGGACCCCAGGTAAACAATCTACTTTTTCTGTCTGTCCCCAGACAAGCGCACAAATGTGAGCGGAGGCGGCTTCGCTGGCTACCATCCCCTCCTGTGCCGGAGAGATTCCTCCCTCAAACTCAAGCAGAAGGTGGAAGAGAAAGGCAGCGACCCCGTGAGGGACGGCAGCAAGGAAAACGTGAGCAACGGTGGGAACAGAGACCCGCCACCGCCTTCGGATGCAGACCCCATGGCCACGGAGCCCTCCAACTAGCCCCACGGGATGGCAGAGCCCAGCAGGGAGCCGCAGGGCCCAGCACGGCCCTCTGAGCACACTTGGTCACTGTGTGGAGACCAGTGGAGACTAGCACAGAGCCTCTAAGTGACTACACGCAGGGCAGAGACGTTCCCCTTCTCTTCAGGGATGTGCTGCAGCCACGGCGGGCCAGGAGCTCAGGCAGCCCAACGTGGGGAGAAGGCAGCGGGGCCGTCTCCTCCGGGCTGCCCAGGTGTGGGGGCTCAACGCGCCTCCCTGCACGCTGGACTCTGGTTTCAACACTGCCTCAAAACACCACCACGGGTCTGGATCACTCAGTCCAGGATTCCCCTTTGATTTCTCCTGGCAATGCCTGCTGTGTTGTCTGCTGCGCCCCTGCAAAGGGGATCCCAGAGCAGCCTTTATGGACTGAGCAGTGACTTCTCCTCCCTCACAATGGGCATTTTCGGCCCTGATCAGGTGGACCAGGATGTCCTGAACTAACACGTGCATTCCCTGAAGGGGGTTGTTAGTCACTGGAGTCACGTAGATGGTAGTACAAACCAACAAGTAATAAAGCTTTTGGAGCCCCTGGCCCGTAGACCTCGTTCCCTGCAAATTTGTGGCCCTGCAGGCACCCGATTTTCTTCATGTGCAGGGCAGGGTCTGGATATCCACTGCAGAAAATTAAAGAAATTAAAAAGGAATCAGACACAACCAGTGAAAAGAGGTCCCAGTGGATTTTGGTTTAGTCTGTGGAGGGCCAAGAATGGCAATGGAGTATCTTCTGGGAGGGCCAATACCTCGTTACTTCAATTAAATGCTTGTATAGGGAGGTAACAGTGCTCGGGATTTAGGTCCTTGCCCTTGGACTGCAGGACTCTCTGTTTTGGGAGCTGGTCCGAGGCCTGCAGAAGGCGATAGAAAAGATTCCTGGAGGCAGCTGGGCTGGCTCCATCTGCTCCGGGAGTAGGTGGATGTGTTGGCTCTCTTCAGTGACATTGGCCTGGCCTGCCTCCTTCACTTAATTTGCTCCCTGAAAGACCGAGAACAAAAGCCAAGTCTTCTGGCAAACCTCCCTGCACACAGACACACACAGAATTTAATAAAAAAAAAAACAACACAACAACACACCACCACCACCAAAAAACATTGGGGTTAATTTTTCCAAGTACCTCTCTTAAGTACAGCCCCATTTGCCTGTTACTTTGAGGCACAGAGCCCCTGTTCACGTAAGGGTCCCCTCTGAAAACAGGCACTGGTAGCAAACCCTTGCATCAACCCCAGATTCACAGTTGCTCGTGATGATTAACTGCAGTTCAGTTCGTTAGGGAGATTACGATCTGTTTCCTACTTGTGCGGCTTCGAGCGTTTGCTCGCAGAGCTCTTCCTCCCCCTAGTTTTTACAGTGCTCCTTTCTTACAATTCTTTTCAGTTCTGCCTGCCTGAGAGGCTGTTTTCTCAGGTCCGTGTGGCACGATGGGGCCTTGCTGGGACAAAGCAGCTCTGTGTGTCCATTAAGGACGCCCGGCTGGCCCCATAGCCCAGTCCCCGGGTGGCCTCGCCAATGCACAGAGGGAGCCCCGGTGGCTGCAGCCCTCACAGTGATGGCTCTGGGGCCCTGTCCCTGCCAGACAGGGACTGCAGCAGGTCACATTTGTCCCCCCGTCCTCCTCTTCATTGTGCTGGGGACTGTGGGGGTTGTGAAGGATGCAGCACAGCAGCCCTGAGCAGTGGTGCCTGACCACTGCAGCCCCATACGGTCCCCACACAGCTCTGGAGCCCCTGCCCGGCTCTGTGACAAGTGACAGCGTGCCACCCCGTGAACACAGGACCTGCCATGCTGCAGGTTTTCTGGTGGAGCAGGGCCTTCGCAACACATTACCCTGGGGTAAAATCAACCAGGGCTGGGCCTTTTTGTCGCCTTGAAGTGTGAAGATCTCTGAGGCCTCCCAGGGTGACCCTGGCACAGCTCACAGCCCTGTGAGACCCTCAGGCAGGGGCGGGTACAGGGAGGGTGCCAAGCACTGGTTTCTACTGGGAAGGAAATGGGCTGGGTGGAAATGCCCCCGATGGGAGAGCTCCTCCACCTCTGACAGCTCCATTAGTTCAATCTCCTCCCTGATCGGGCGTCAGGACAGGTACCACACCTAGGCCAGGAGGAAAAGGGCCACCTCCGCCCATCTCTGCAGCTCCGTGCCTTGTCGCAGGGCTCTGTGCCCTGTGCGCAACCCCCAGGAGACGCTGGGTCGTGCCCTGGTGGTGAAAAGTGCCATTGCTTCTCCCCACCTCCTGGGCTGCATCGCCTCTCCTTAAAGCAACTCAGCAGAACGTGGCTTTTGCTCTTAGCAGCCGTGTTCCCATGCAGCAGGATATGTTCACTGCCGCAAGGACAGGCGTGGAGGGAGCAGTGTCAGCACCTGCCTCTGCTCGGCCGCCAGGTCTGGATGTGCCCGGGTCTGTCTCACCCTCCCAAAGCGGCCGACCCAGAGCTTGCCTGTGTCAGCAGCAGGGACACGTTGGCGGTGCATGCTCCAGTGCCTTGGATTAAGAAAAAAAAAACAGCAGAAGGGTCAAAAGGAGAGCTCACAGGGGTGTGGGGACACGGTGGCTCTCTGCTGCTTCCCCCTGCCTGTCCCTGAGACCATCCCCACACCAGTGGGTGTGTGGGGGGGTCTCCTGTGGGAAACCTACAGCTGCCCGGGGTAACACGACCATGGGGGTGTTTGCAGTGGCCCAGCCCCCCTGCAGATGAAAGTTCAGCGGGTGACATTGGCAGCAGGGGGATGCTTCCGCCCTTAACATTTCTAGCATTTTATGGCTCTTTTACCAGGTCAGCAGCTCCGCCGACACCCCCCTTCCCACCACCCTCGTCCAGGGGTTGCACATTTGCAGGGATCTTTAATTACTGCGTTAACGAGGGACACTGTGAGCACCGTGCTGCCTCCCCAGCACCCACAGCGGGCACTGAGGCGGCACTGCACAACCACACCGCTCATCCCAGCTCATCCCTTGGGTGTCAGGGTGCAAAGCCTCATCCAAGCCCTCAGCTACAGCGTGCGGGCACACAGCCCCCCCTGCACAAAGCATGAAGCCGCTGTGACCCCAGGAGGAGCAGCAAGCAGCACACAGAGCGTGCTGAGCACAGCAGGAGGAGCCCCAAATCCCTCCCCCCCCCCCTACCCCCGCCGCCATTTTGCGCCTCCCCCCTCCTTCCCTTCCCCCGGGACTACAACTCCCATCAGCCCCCGCGCGCGCGCGCTGCCCGAACCCTTTTCCCGCCAGGGGGCGCGCAAGGCGAGGCGGGGCGGGCTTGGGCCGTTGCCATGGCAACGCGGCCCCGAGTAGCCGGCGGCGCTGATTGGCTGCGGGGCGCTGGGCCGGGCGGTGGCGTCAGGGCGGGCGCGGTGACGTGCGGGGGCGGGGGGGGGACGAGGGGGGGGGGCGCCGGCGGCGGAGCTGGGGCCGGCGGCGGGAGGTGAGAGCCGGGGGGGGGGGGCGTGAGGTGTGTGTGGGGGGGACATGGGGGAAATAGGGGGAAGTTGGGGGTTTAGGGGGACGTGGGGGTTTGGGGGGGGTGTGAGGGTGTGGGGGGGTTGGGGGGAAATGGGGGAAAATGGGGGGAAATGGGGGGGTTTGGGGGAAGAGGGGGTGAGGGGGGTGTGGGGGGGACGTGAGGGGTTTGGGGGGGGTCTGGGGGGTTTGGGGGTGTGAGGGGGATTTAGGGGGTTTAGGGGGTGTAGGGGATATAGGGGACAAGGGGGGTGTGGGGGGCGCAGGGGGGATGTAGGGGGTGGGGGGGGGGTTGGGGGATGAGGGGGGGTTGGGGGGATGTGAGGGTTTGGGGGAGGCCTGGGGGGGTTGGGGGGCATAAGGGGTGTGTGGGGGATATAGGGGGCAAGAGGGGTGTGGGGGCTGATAGGGGTAAGAGGGGCAAGGGGGTGTGGGGGGGTGATATTGGGGATGACGGGGGTGGGGGGGGCTCTGTGAGGGTGACAGGGCCCTGGGGGTCCTGGGGGGGGTAAGGATTGGGGGCAGCTGGGTGACATTGGGGTGCGGGGGGTGCTTGTCTGAAGGGAATTGGGGAAGAGCGAGGAGGGGATGTGGTCAGGACAGGGGACACGGGGGGGACGTGGTGATGGCAGGGTTGGGGGGCGAGGATGAGGCCGGGGGGGGGGCCTGTCCCCATGGGCAGGTGTTGAGGAGGAGAAGCTGGGGGCCGGGGGCTCTGTGCCGGGTGTTCCCCCCCCTTTAGGGGTCCCAGGGGGCTCGCGGGTGGCACCTCGGTGGTCACAGAGGGGGACAGAGCCGGGGGGCTGCTGGGGGGGGGGGCTGTGGGGTGCCCAGTTTGGGGCCAGCAGCGTGGCTTGGCTATTGGGTGGGGAACCAGCGATGCGACCCCATGCTCTGCTCCCCTTCCTGTGGCTGAGATCCTAAATAAAGGATTTTTGCTGAAAAAAAATTATAAAAATAAATGGCAGAGGAAGCGCAGGGGCAGCTGGTCCCCGGGGGATGCGGTGTCCGAGGGTCCCAGCTCCGCGCCGTGTCTGTGACAGGGTGGTGCTGGCTGGGCTGCCTGCAGCTCTTAATTAACCTAAAAAACACTCATTAAAAAAAAAAGTCCTAGGTGAAAGGTAAAGCAGCGTGCAGAAGGAGGCGGCAGGACCTCAAAACAAGCCCTGATTGAATTTTGCCTCCCGCTTCCCTGCTTTGTTTTGCCCTTCCAACCTGTTGCATTTTTTCCTTCCTCGCTGGCCCCCTCGGAGCTGTTATTGCGGACGAGGATCCCGGGCTTGCTCCGAGCTGCTTCGCCCTCCCCTTTCCGTGTGCTCAGGAGGGTTTCTCGCCTCGCCACGCTTTCAGAAGCTCCTGAGCACCGACTCCACCTCAGCCCAGGTTTAAGTCTTTAAGTTTGTTTAGGAGCAGAGAGGCTCGGATGCGTGAAGGAGTCGGAGCGTGGAGCCCTGGGTGCTGGGGAGCCCCCCGGGCAGGGTTTGGGGCTTCGCTGGGAGCCCCCCAGGCAGGGATTTGGGTGTAGGAGCCCCCCGTGCAGGGCCAGGGGCTTTGCTGGGAGCCCCTTGTGCAGAAATTGGGGCTTTGGAGCACCCTGAGCAGGATTTGGGGCTTTTCTGGAGCCCCCCATGCAGGGCTGGGGACTTTGCAGGCGTCAGACACGCGGGGTCGGGGCAGCACGGCTGTGGTCACCCCCATAAATCAGCCCGCATCCCACTTCTGGGCTGTGATCCTCTCCTCCCTCCTCCTGGTCTCTTTTTTTTTGTGCCTTCCCTCGCTGCTTTCAGTGGGGAATCCCTTTCCCCATCCTCCCACGGGCACGCCCCAGCAGCTACCTGCGAGCAGGGCAAGGTGAGCCCGGGATTTACTCGGTTCTCAGCAGTGGGAGCGAGCTCGGGGTGTGATCCCTGCCGTCCCGCTGCGTGATTCACGCGCTCGTTGACACCCTCAACTTTGCCACCGAGTCAGGGCCGGGTTTTTATTTTTTTATTGCTGGTGGAGGTGAAGGAAGCCTGCTGCTGCCGCACCAGCCGGGACGGGATGACTTTATGGCCTCTCCTCAGCAGGAAGGGGAACAAAAAGCCTTGGTTTGGGCGTTTGGGGAAAAACCCCTTCTGTTTCGGGAGGGGACCTGCACAGCCGTGGATTGGGGTCGGGGTGTGTGGTTTTATTGCCCCGAGCAGCAGGGGGCTGGGGGCTGGACCTCTGCTCCTGTGTGCGGCTCAGCCCCTTCCCTGCAGCACGGGGACAGTTGCTTCCTTCACGGGAGGCTGTTAGTTTGTATTTTCGGTGTTTATAGTCATTTATATTTTCCGTATTCATTCATATTTTCTGCAGTTATAGCTGTCAGGAAGGGAGATCCTGATGTGACCGATGCTTCGCTCCACGGGACAGGGCTTGTTTTTGGAGGGGACACTCGTGCCGTCCCCTGGAGGCGCCTGGGGCTGCTTGGCCACGTAGGAAACTCTCTTTGTACCCACCCGAGGAGCCTCTCCAGGAGCACAGGGCTTTGGGGGGCAGAGGATTTGCTTCCTTTCTTCCTGCCGTGCTGGGCAGAGGAAGCTCCGGGTGCTCGCTGCACCTGGGGTGAGCGGCACGAGGTGGGATTTGGTGCCTGCAGAGGAATCACCACCTCGCCCCGTGGGTCTCCTTGCCCCAAAGGAGGCAGCGATAGGGAACGGGGTGGGAGGAGCAGGGAGGGTACGTGGGTTCAAGTAGCATCATGTTCACAACATCTTTGTTTAATACGTTAGTCCAGTTAGTCTGCATAACTGTGTCTAAAAATAGAGCATATTTTCTGTAAGTCCTCCAGTTCAGCCTCGTAAGCCGTGGGTTTTTTTCCAGCCGTGGTCTCTTGCCGCCCTCCTGAAATTCGGGCGGAATTTGCAGCCTTATCAGCAAAACCAGGAGGGCCGAACTCCGTCAAATCCTTCGGTTTCTACAGCCCGAGAGAGGGAGAGGTTCAGTAAAACTGCAGGAACTTGCAGGCAGCCTCCTAAAGAGGGATTAAGCGAGTCGAGTAAACAAACCGCCTCGTGGCCACGCCAGCCTTTTCCAACTGGAGCCGTGCGTTAGCATCGACTTTGTGCGTGGTGGGGAAAAGCTGGGGAAATCTGCCCAGGTGGCAGCCACGAGGCCGGGGCAGCGTCCCCGTGTGGGTCTCCAAGCTCCTAAAACCCCAGGGGAGCTCCCGGGGGTCCCTGTAGGGATTTTGGGGGCTTTGCTCCCGCTGCCTCCCCGCAGCGCCGGGGACTCGCCCCAGCAGATGGTTGCAGCGCAAGGCGGAGGGGGGGGGTGTTTAAATTTCAGAGCCGTCGCTGGATCTGTCCCAGTTCTCCCGGCGGCATAAATATCTGGCCTTCAGCGCAGCCGGGGAACTCGGTGTTGTGTTCTCTTGCAGATTGCCTCGCTGCTCGGCTCTCCGTGCTGACATGGTAACGGAACAGGGGCTTGCACCGGCGGGCGGACAGGGACAGCTGCTGCGGAGAGGTAACCCTTCCTTTCGCGTGCCTGCTCCTCCTAAATGCTCGCTCTGTTTGTGTTTTAAAAAAATTTCGGGGTAAGGAAGAGCCCGCGGAGAGTGACCTGCTTTCAGCAAGTTTCAGTTTTGGCCGTGAGCTTAAACTTTCTGAAGGTTCTTTGAAAATCTGAATTCTGAGACTTGTTCCCGCTCGGTTTCTGAACGGGATCTGTGTGGGTTTTGTTTAGGGCTCTGCTCTAAGCATTGTGGTCTGATCCCGTTCCTCTCAGCCGGCTGCTGCCATCAAAGTATAACAATTTAAAATGTGATTAGTTGGCTGCGTTTACAACCCAAATTGCTGCTTCGAGAGCGGGGAGGTCATGTGAGACGAGAGGCTGTGCTTAGGTAAATGTTCACCTACTTATCAGGACACGCGATCTGACACCGACGCCGATAACATCGCTCCCTCCGGAACAGCCCTGCCAGCCAAAACGCCGCGGCGTGCTGCGGAGCTGAAATAGTTTTGGAGGACGTGGCCCCGGGGGCTCAGCTCCTGCCCGTGGGGATGCTGACGTTCCTCGGGGTGCTCGCCCCGCGCCCAAACGCCTCGCCTGGCTTCTAAATCCCCGCCGAGGGGTGGGTTTATTTTCTCCACGAGACACATCGAAGGTATTTAGCTGGACGGAGACGTGGTCTTTTATATAAGCATCTCCTCGAGTTTGTGTTCTGGCTGTCGGGACAGGGACTTCTGAGGAACCCCAGTGCGTGGGGAGGGTTTTGTAACGAGCCACACGACGCTGAGCGGGCGGGGAGGCATTGTTGTGCAGAGCTGCTTGCTGATCTTAATGGGCTCTTTCTCTCTAGAGCCTTGCCTGCTGACAAATCCGCATTTCCGTACAGAACATCGTGTCTTTGGGGGAATGATTTATCTGCGGCTCTTGAATTACGAACTGGAAATCTGCAAATGGTCTTGGAGATGGAGGGGCTGGCGTGAGAGGAGGCTCACAGACCCCTCGGGGGGGACCCGCAAACGCTTTTGAATTGAGCACGATGATGTCCCGGTGCTTATGGCTGAGGGCTTCTTTGCTGCCAGATCCCAGCCTGGCTGCCCTGCCCGTGGAGTTTTGGAGCTGTTGGTTTATTTGTGGTTTGTGCTGCCTCCCGTGCTGATAGCCCCGGTCTGTCAGGCTGTGGAGCTGCTTTTATACAGGGCGTTGTGGAGCTGTCTCTGCTTTTCTAGAGGTGTCACTCCTCAGAGACGTACTACGTGTCTCTGGTGCGATGATTTCTGAGACTGTGGGAAAGTCTAGACAAGCAGAAGTGATTTCCGTAGTGAGCATGAATGGGATTATTCTGTAGAAGAGCTATTTTCCCTTTTTTTTAAAATCTTACACTCCGAAATACACTTGCGTTGGCAGAGTGCCTCGGAAATTTCTTTCTCAAAGCAGGGTTTCGAGTGTAGCCATCGATGGCAGTGTGAACCTTTTGGTCAAGGAGATTGTGAAACAGCTTCCCCAAAATGAACGATTTTTGGATGTTCGCTGAGCCCTGCGTGACTGCAAGACTTCAGAACAGAACTGACTCGAGACAGGTCTTAGTTTCGGGATGACTTCTTGAAATTTTCTAACGTTCAGCGCTGCAATCACAGCGTCTGAAAAACGTCTGGGTCCTCCAAGACTTAGCTGAGAGCTTGTGAACGTGGGGCCCTTTGGGTCAGGTGTGTGTTGGGGCGCTGCGGATCCCCCAAAAAGGTCCTGCCTTGAAGCGTGGGCTTTGAGGCCGGGGTTTTTAGGAAATCCTGGCTGAGAAGAGGTGTCAGGGTGAAAGCCCGAGCCAGAAATGTTAACGTTTCTCGTGGTGCTGGGTCGTGCCAGAGCACGCCTTTGAGGCTTGCGGGTAGCATCAGGCAGATAATGCTCGTGCTAAGCAGAAGCTGTGCCCTCCTGAAGTGTTTTTTGGTTTGCCCCAGTCTGGGAACTGGAACCGTGCATACAAAACACGGAGCGTGCGAGTTCAAACCCCGAGCAGAGATGTGGCGTGGGACAGGGAATGGTGCTGGTGGTACAAAAGGGCAGGTGAGCTCCTGCCTGAGCTGATAGGGATTTTTGTTTTTATTTTTTTGATAATCTGTTAAGACAAACTTTGCTGTGAAACATGCAGCTGCTAGTGAAAGTCTGGTTAGGAAAGGTTTTGTCGTGCTGAAGAAGGGACGGGTGAGAGGGCTTCAAAATAACCTGGGTTTGCTGCGGTCACCTCAGTGATGGAAACCTAAGCTTAACTCCCTATCCTGTCTGCTTTTTTAATAACTTTCTTTAAGTCCAAATATCATCTTAATGCAAATCTGAAATATTTCTGAAGGTACCCAAATCTGCTTTCTACCTCTACGTTAATTATATGGATGCTACCAGAGCTGGTGGACTGTGGAAACACTTCTCCTCCTGCGGACCTGCGATGGTGCCTAGGATGTGAGGGTGTTAGGAGAGGTGCTGATGCTCTGCTCCAGCGTTTGGTTTTCTAGGGGCTGAGGCAGGAATCCAGAGGGACAGGAGCACGCCGAGCTCCTCTCCTTGGCGGGGCTGTCCTGCCAGGACCGCGTTCAGTCCCTGAAAACACCGGGAAACCTCCGTTCCTCCGGCCGGCTCTCGCTGTGTGAACGTGGCCAAAAATAGTAAGGAAACACAGTTCTCCTCCAAATTCCTGAGAGGGTGTTGAACTAGTTTGTTACACAAAGTTATTTTAATGCTCTCTGGAGTTGTCCGTGAGGAGACAGAAGCAAGCTCAGATTTAGTCTTTTCCTGCTCCGCGTTCAAAGGAGAGGTGAAGCGAAGATTTGTTCTGTTCCAGCGCGTGTTCCCAGACCCTGCTGAATCATCTGAACTCGTGCCTGGGCATAATCGCTCACTGTCAGCTGCGTCCTGGGATCAGAGCTGAATGCCTGGTGCCTGGGATGTTTTTGCTAAGGTCTACAAAACACGTAGTGCATATCTGGGAGCCCGAGTGTAAGCAGAACAAACTTACAGCCCAGTAGATTTAGCCCAGGGGATCTTAGTGGCTGCAAAGAGGAGAAGGTTTGGTAACGTTTTTGAGGTTTGGTAACGTTTTTGAGGGTGATTCCTGGATTTGGGAGCTCTGGCCACCTGGCACTGGGGCTTGCTGGCCTCTTGGGTATTTGGCTCCTGCTGACGGGCTGCCTGCGCGTGCCTGTGATTCAGGGCAGTGGACGCCCTGACCTGTTGCCGCGTTTTTGCTGTTCCCCCGTCTCCTTTCCAGGGATCTGATTGCCCCAGGGGTGACGCTCGCCGGTGACCTGGTGACATTGGGGCTTTGGGAAGCACCACGCCAGGCTCGGGTGCGAGGTGCTGCCACGAGTCGGGCGCTCCAACTCCAGGGCCAGCAGTGGCACCGCGCTGCACTTGCTGCTTTCCTGGTTTTCCCTTTAAACGTTGCTCTGAGCCCGTGCCCACTGTTTGCCTTGGGAAGCCGTGTTGCTGTTCCCTCCCTGTCAGCCCTGTTCTATAATTACTGATGTTCCTGAAACCAGATCCTCCCACGTGGCCTGCTCCGCTTCGGGGGGACGAGGGCTCTGTAAGCAAACCCAGCGCCCTGCAGCGACACGCGGGGGGCTCGGGGGTTCAGAGAGCCCCAGCTTCCAACAGGTTAACGGGTTTCAAGCTGCCAAACTTCTCTCCTTTTGGGATGGCGAAGGGGAATGCTTCCCAGGCGGCTTCTCTGTACTTCCAGGGAGGAAGCAGGGATGTGGAAGCCTTCATCTGCTCCATGGGTGATGTTGAGGGACAGGGCCATGGGGTCGGGGTCTCTTGCTGGCACCAAACCCTCTGAGCTGCCTCGTGTCTCCCCCAGCAGCGCTTGAAGGCCACGTGCCGAGCTCAAAGCTGTCCCCAAAACATCGTCCTCGCGGGGGGACAGCCCCAGGCAGGAGGGCAGCGCATCGCCCAGCATCACAGGACAGCTCAGGCCACCTCCGCTGTGCCCTGGCGGGAGTGGGGACGATCCTCTCTCATTACTGGACTTAACGAACGTCTCAAATGGCACCACATCTGCGCAGTTTCCAGTGCTGAGCAGCCCCGGCGGTGTCACCTTTCAGGTACCTGCCTGTTTCCTGGCTGCTGTCCCCGTCCCAACCAGCCGGACACGCGCCCCCCCTGCCTCTGCCTGCTCCGGGCTGTCCTGAGCTGACAGCAAAACGCAGACATCGCTTGGCAGATGCCAGCCCCAGCCTCGCCAGTTTGTTTGCTGGAAGCACTCCTGGAAACGCTTCATATGGGAATGTGCAGAGGGAGAAGAGGGTCACGAGCAGCGCGGGGTGGTGCTGAGCCTTGCGAGCGTGACTGGGAACAGGTGTCCAAATCCCTCACACGGGAATAAACAATGACGCTTGGCACCGATGTCCAAAACATGCCGTCTCTGTGAGCTAATGCAGCGAGGAAAGGAGCAGGAAGGAAGCGCTGCAGGACCCTGTTAGCATTATTTTGGGTGATGGAGGAAATAGAGGGACGGGGGGCGGCAGGAGCTGCTGGAGGTCATGGAGCACTACTTTGGGTAAGAGCCCCAGACTGCTCGGCTCTTCGCTGCCCACCCTCCTCTCGCCCCTTTTGTGAAAGATCTGCGGATCCCGGCTCGTCCAAGGCTGAGGAGAGCCAGGTGTGGAGGGGTGAGCCCCGCAGGAGCATTAAACCTCTACCAAGGAAGCCCAGCACCGGTGAGAAAGCGGGAAGTTCCCTTCAGATCAAAACATGATCTAGTTCTTCAGGACGATTGCGGCGCAAAAAGAGAAGGATCCAGCGAGTTTCATAACTCTTTGACTTTTTTTTTTTCTCAGTGGCCAGGAAGTGGATGAGTTCAAACACGCAGGCGATGTGTGATTCATGTTGGCAGGCCTGGCCGCTCGAGGCAAGCGAGGGAATCTCCTGCGCTGCTCCGTCGCGTGTTCCTGAGTAATTAACAGCACGGCTAATAGCAGCCCGGGCAGCACCCTGCTGCCGCCTCGGCTGGGCTGGCGTTGGTGAAAAGCAGACAGCCTGCAGGGAGGACAAGGAGCTGGACATCTGCAGGGTTGGAGCAGATGCTTTAATTTCTCTCAGGCCCCGAATATCAGCGCTGGCCAGGGCTGGGTGCCTTGGTGCGGGGGGAAGCGTTCCTCCTCGCCAGCTCCAGTAGTTCACTTCTGCACGGAGCTGCCTCTTGGCCAAGGCTTCTGAGGAAATGCTGGGAGAGTGAGCGCTGCCGAGACCTCGTTAGCTAATGAGGAGGTGTGTTTGGGCTTTCAGGAACAAAAACAAAACACGTTTTCAGTGTTTGTCTCTGTGGACTTTTTGCACTTGGTTACCTTTCCTGTGTTGCAGCATCTGCTGAGCTCTTATACGGCTTTTATTAGGAGTAGCTGACGTGCAGGAGGAGGAACAGAAACTGGTCCTCGATCAGCAGATACCCGACGCGGTGACACAACCCAAGGGATGTCTGCAAATAATGGCCAATGAGCAACCACCACATTTTTGTTGGAATCAGCTCCGTTTTTTGGTACATTTGATGTGTGCGCCGTGTCACACAAAATCCTGCTGTCTGGTGCCAAATTCACAGCCAACAGAATCCTTCCGAAGGGGTTCACTTCTGTTGACTGTGAATTTGTCTAACGTTTTCATCCAGATGATCAAAAACACAAGCCAGAAGTGCTCCCATGGTAAATTGGTCTCCTTTCGTGGCTCCTGGTGACCTCCCGTAGGGAAACGTGAGCAGCTTTGAATGGATCAACCTTGTGACCTGTCCCTTGGGAGACTGGGATGTTTTTTGGCGCCTTGCTTTGCCTGGAAACTTCCATCTTCCAGGGAGGAGTCTCGTCTGGCGACACTGCAACAGGGACGTGTCGGGGAGCTGCCTCCATCCCCGTCGGTATGGAAATATTAGGAACAAATGTGCCTTCCCCCGGAGGGGAACGGGGCAGGAGTCCTCTCCACCCCAGCCAGCGTGTCGAAATGACTTCTTTGAAACTACACCTGCTTTAAAGATGACGTCCTTCTAATTATGAGCACTTCCTCGCTCCCTCGGTGGCTGCCAGCACCTTGGTGTCCGTGTCGCCACGCACGTCCCCTCCTTGTGCTGATTTGCTCCACGGGCAGCCTTGTGAGGGTGGTCGCATCGCCCCAGCAGCCCTCCTGTGCACCAGCCGGGGGGCAGTGGACGCTTCTTGGCTCGTGTGGCAGCTTCTGCTGTCTCTGAACGTAGCTCTGAGGCTTAAATGCCAGCTCGCTGCCAGGAGCTGCCTGGCCAAAAGCATGCAAGCACCCAGCGCCGAGGAAGACGTGGGTCCTGCTCAGCTCTGGAGAAGCGCTGCCTTCAGGCTCCGGGTCCGTGCTGCGCTCAAGGCTGGAGATTTGTCTCCTCTCAACTTTGCAAGCCCTGGCGTGCCAGTTTTTATTTTTTAAAGCTGTTTCCCCCTTGTCTGTGCGCCACGCTTCTTCCACGTCTTCCTGCCGTGTCATTCCGCCTGGCAGAGGGCTCAGCTCCTGCTTCTGGTAAAGAAAAACTTGGTGCCAGCGCTGTTTGCGGCGTGGGAGCTGCGAGGGGGACACCCAGCAGCATCTGTCCGAGTGAGGAGCCTTCGTGCGCAGCAACCAGCCCAGCATCCCCAGCTGCCAAAGCTTTGAACGGGGCAGAGCAAGTCACGAGATGCTCGCCCTCTTGCTCGTTCCCATCCTGTGGGAAGAGGAAAGGAAACAGCTTTGCCTGATTTTCTGGAGACGCTTAGGAAGGAATTCGCAGTGCCTGTCCTCCTTTCCATCCCGGCTTTCCATCGCTGCTCCGTGACAGCTGCGGGGTGGAAAAAGGGGGTGGCTGTGCCGGGCAGGGATCTCTGCCCTGCTCCTGCTCCTGTGCTGTGATGGAGAGGGAGGCAGCTTCAGCCCAGGGAAGGAAAAGCCATTGTTGGGGCTGGTGGGAGGGAATCTCCCCGGTGTCTGGGGCTGAATAAAGCGTCCCCGAGGCTGGCACAGTCATTCACTTTGTGTGTGCCACAAGCATCCAGCACTAAAAGGAATCAAACAAGCTTTTTTTGCTAATTTTGATCAAGCCAGCGCTGGTTTGTTCTTTATACCAAACTCAACGATCCAGCTGAAGGGAACCAAAGGCTCGGCAGTCTCTGCGTGGAGCCAGGTTTGGCCACTGCCCCGTCCCGCAGGGGTCTGGGGTCCGCATGTCCCCTGCAGCCACGCGGAGGCCTGGCCCCTGCCTGCCTTTCATCTGCTGGAGGCAGGGGGTGCCGCCGGCCGGGTGGAATTAATCCCTCTCCCCCCTCCTCTGCCTCTATCTCCGTTGTTTGGAAAACAGGGGAACGGCTCCGGGAAAGGCAGGTGTGCAAACAGCTCCTGCAGCTCCCCTCCGCCCAGGCCCCTCCGCTCTCGGCCTGCCAGAAGATATTAAAACAATAAATTCAGAGCTTTCTGCCGAGAGCTTTTTTCCCCCTGGCTCTCCAGTCGCTCTCAAAGGCTGGGACCTGAATCCTTGCCCTTCCCCTAGCACCCTCGCCCACACGGGGCACCGTCCTTTGGGCTTGCTTTGGTGGTTTTTGGGGTTCGAGCTCTCTGCCAGGGCACGAGGCTCTGCCTGGACCCTGTGTGCCAGGAACACAGCTGGAAAACTGAGCCCCTGGGGGCCGATGAGATGAAGCAGAGACTTCATCCTCAAAGGGTTTAAGTGCTTGCCTCTCCTGATGGATGCCAGAGCCACGGAGAGCTAACGACAAGCCCAGGAAGGTGCTGGCTGTGCTTTCCACGGGAGGCCAGCTCCTCCTGCCACAGCCTTCCCCCGCTCGCTGCCGTTCCGGGCAAAAACATTTTCCCTGATGTCTGTGCGTTCATTTATATATAGCCTTTAATGAGGTCCAGCTCATTACCCTCCACCCCTGACGACGAGGTTTTCCTGCCTGGATGCCCTGCCCCGCGTGTGAGCGGCGGCCAAGGGTAACAGAGCCGTGAATGGGGCCTCAGTGCTGCCCGGGAGGCGCGGGCGGGGAGTGCTGAGCCCCCTGCCCCTGTCCCAGTTCCTCAAAACAGAGGAGCCGTGGCTCCAAATTCACAGCGAGGTGTCCCCGGGCTGTGATCCAGCAGCAGCTCCTGGGGGTCCCCGTGCTGGCGTGTCGATGTCCAGCCTCCCCTTTGAGGGTTCATCCTCCCCTTGGCACCAAGCTGCTGGCCCGGGGAGCTCCGACCTTGCCGGGTGCTGACGGCTTCCCCAGGTGGGCTGAGGAGCTGGATGCAGCCCGGCTGCAGAGCTCTGGGCACGAGGGGCTGCTGTGGGAGAGGAACCGAGCTCGGGGAGCTGTGGGTCGCTGCTGTCCTCCTGCAGTGAGCCCTGTGCCACGGGGTGTGGGGCACAGACACGCGGGGTGCCCTCGTGGAAGAACCCTGCAAGTGGTTTACACAGGGAGCAAGCACGAGGATGCTCCAAAAGCTGAACTCGTGCCTGTTAATCGAGGCTCTGTGGAAATAGAGCAATGGATCCTGAGCTTTCCAATAACTCCTTGAAGGAAATGGCTGCGGCTCTGCACCACCCTGGCTGGAGGTGCTCAGGGCTGGAGGTGCTGCGGCACGGGGCGAGAGCCGGCTGGGCTCGGGGTGCTGGGAACAGCCCGGCCTCGGCCACGGCACATCGCTTGGCGCTGGACGAGCACAAACAAGGAGAGGAAGTGTGGGGGAAAGGGGCCCGTGGCCACCCTCCCACAGGAAGCCCCGGGTTGGGACGGGGCCGGGCCGTGCAGCCGGCGCGGTCGCGCTGCGGCGCTCGGCAGCGTGCGGCGGGGCAGCGGCATGTTCAGGCTCTTGGCAGAGGAGCCGGGGCTGGTTACAACACGATGAGTGAAAACAAACACCAGCACTGCGACGGGAAGGAACGGGAGGGCAGGGGCCGGCAGGAAGCCATCAGTCTCACGGGCGGCTGGCGTGGGTCTGGGGCTTTTTTTTTTTTCCTGCCCCCAGCAGCCGCCGTCCTCGCCCCGTCATCAGGCTGAGCCCCGCATTGTGTGGCTGGGGATGGAGCCTGAAGGTTGAAGATGAAGGATCCCGATCTTTCTGCTAGCGTTGGCTCTGCCAAACCTCAGCCTTGGCTGCCACCGGGACTGCCCAGGGCACGGGTGGCTTTGGGGGATGTCTCCACTGCGGGACCTGCAGGGCAGGGAGCAGCAGCCCCAGGTCCCTGGTGTCTGTATCCCAGGATCTGCTGGGCTTCGAACACGATCCCAGCAAGATTTTGCTTCCCTGAGCGTTAGCAGCAGAGAAAAGCCCCGGGGGCTGCTTGTCTGCCTGGGTAAGACGGAGCAGAGCAGGGCTCCTGCGCCTGACGCCGTGCCTCTCCCCCTGTCCGCAGGCTAGCGCAACAGCCTGGTAGGGTCCATCTCGGCTAGACACGGATGATGCCAGAGCTATGACAGGGATTGCAGCCTTGGCACTGAGGGGTGATCGATTATGGAACAACCACAGGAGGAAGTACCTGAGGTCAGGGAAGAGGAGGAGGAAGAGGAAGAGGCAGTGATGGTGGCCAGCGGAGCCTCAGACCCAAGTGCAGGACCAGACAGCTCGCTGCCTTCGAGCAGCTACACAGGTGAGTGGAGCCCCGGGGGGATCCAGGCTGCAGCCACGTCCTCCAGACAGCGTGCTCAAGGCCAAGGGCACCGGCTCCGCATGTGAACGGGGCTTGGTTTGGTTTAATTTCCTCTGTTTGTGAAATAATTCACGGAGAGCCAAGTTACGGAGAAGTATTTCTTTTTCTGCGGTCACCGCACAGCCGCTGGCAGCAGGCTGGGAGGTGGCAGCAAGGGCAGGAGGGGAAGGTTGTGTCCCGGAGGGTGCGTGGGGGAGAGGGGAGGGCTCCCAGGGTGCCTGAGAACCTTCCCTGGAAATCCTGGGTGCAAACCGCTCGTAGGAGCCGGGAGAGAAGTGTTGTTGTTCCTGTGCCAGCCCCGTGCCAGCTGCCTGGCAAATCTGCTGGTAGGGTTTCGCTGCCTGAACATGAATGCCAGAGGGAGAAATCAGAGCTGATGGGGAGGCTCTGAGCTGCTGGGAACGCTTGGCTCTGTACAGGGCATCAGCCTGTGGCCAGTGCCTGATCTCAGAGGTTAACTGCCCGAGTGACAGCCTGGGAAGCTCTGGAAGTCCCTCCAGCCACGGGGTTAGATGTGACGCTGTGCTTGTGGTGACCACACAACAGGATGCCTCCCCTCGTGTGTTTGCAGACCTTTCACAGAGCTCCTCTCCCTCCCTGTCGGACCAACTGCAGATGGGCTGCGAGGAGGCGGCCTCGGGGGCGCTGAACGTGGAGTGCAGGGTCTGCGGGGACAAAGCCTCGGGCTTCCACTACGGCGTGCACGCCTGCGAGGGCTGCAAGGTGCGTCCGCCCTGCAGGGGCTGCGTTCGGCAACAGCAAGCAGAGCTGAGAGCCCGGGGAGCGAGCTGGCTCTTTGGGCAAGCAGGACCACAGCAAAGCAGGGATGCAGGATGAAATGACTAAAAAAAAACACTTGCAACCTGCCCGGAGAGCCTACAGGCAGGCACAACCTGAAGGAGGCAGCTGAGATGTGTGTGACCCAAACCCCTCTGTGTCGCACTTTACTTTGTAAGGCAAAGCCTCCTGCCCGCCTGGGGACTCTGGCTTTGCTTTTCAAGATGCTGGCTGTGCTGCAGAGCAGCAGCGTGCTTGTCCCCTGGGACCGCTGGCCGCAGCTTGGCTGCGCCTCTGAAATTCCTTCCCCCCCAGCAGATGCCAGCGGGGCTGGGTTAGCGGCCGGGACCTGCCAGGCATTCCCACAGCCCGCTCCTCCATCCCTCCCTGCTGGCTGCCCGCAGTATCACACACCCAGCTCCCTTCTCCCACCTCTCCTCGTGGCCTTGAGGCTCTGCTCATGCTGAAAATACCCCATGGAGGGTGAGGGGGCTGAGCCTCTGTGAGGCTGCTGGGGATCGGAAATGAGCCCGGTCCCAAAATGCAGGTGCTAACGCTGCTGTTCCCTTGTCCCCCCTGCTCCGTGTCCCCTCTCTGTGTGCTGCCTGCTCGCAGGGTTTCTTCCGCCGGACAATCCGCATGAAGCTGGAGTACGAGAAGTGTGAGCGGAGCTGCAAGATTCAGAAGAAGAACAGGAACAAGTGCCAGTACTGCCGCTTCCAGAAGTGCCTCTCACTGGGCATGTCACATAACGGTGAGTGCCACCCTTGTCCCCTGGGGTGCCGTGGGGCCGTCTGCCCCGTGAGCGGAGCCCCCTCCCGGAGATTCACACGGGGAGGCCAGATGGAGCTCACTTTATCCCGTGGCTCTTTTTTGGCCAAGGAATCATCTTCTTTGAAGCCCAAAGCTTCTGGTCTTTGTCACTTCCATCCATTCCTTCCCTACGAGAAGGGGCTCTTTGTTCCTGCCGTGCAGGCGGGCTGGTGGCACGGGGCTCTTCCCTCCAGGTTGGCCCGGCAGCCGCTGTGCACACAGGTTGCTTTCCTGTGCTGGGATCTTTAAACCTGAGGCGTCACCATCCCGTTCCTGGCCAAGCCAAAGTGTTTATGTGGGAAGAAGAAGCGGGGCTTGCGAGAGAACCCAGACGAGCAGGGATGGGAGCTGTGGGGCTGTGCTGGGGGGCTCACAGTTTTGCTCCTCGCAGCGATCCGCTTCGGCCGCATGCCGGAGGCAGAGAAGAGGAAGCTGGTGGCGGGGCTGACGGCGAGCGAGATCAGCTGCCAGAACCCACAGGTGGCCGACCTGAAAGCTTTCTCCAAGCACATCTACAACGCCTACCTGAAAAACTTCAACATGACCAAAAAGAAGGCGAGAGGTATCTTGACCGGGAAGGCCAGCAGCACCCCAGTAAGTTCCCTCCCGGGGCAAACAGGGCTGGCTGCAGCCGGCGCAGGGGGGCTCTTTGGGCGAGGACGTGCACCTCGCTCCTGCTGTCGCTATTGCACGTGCACCACTTCCCAGCTGCAGCTCCGTGGGCTCCACACGCCCTGCGCTCGCTGCTTTGCACACTCGTGTGGGTGTGGGTGCTGTTTGCCTGGGCCCCTCAGCCCCGGCAGGAGAGAAGAGCAAAGGGACAGGCAGATGCAGGTGTCCTGGGTAGGGCTCGGAGCTCGAGTCCCTGTGGCGGGTTCCTGACCTCTTGCTTCTCTTTCAAGCAGCCTTTTGTGATCCATGACATGGACACCTTGTGGCAAGCAGAGAAGGGGCTGGTGTGGAAGCAGCTGGTGAATGGGATTCCCCCCTACAAGGAGATCGGGGTGCACGTCTTCTACCGCTGCCAGTGCACCACGGTGGAGACCGTGCGGGAGCTCACCGAGTTCGCCAAGAGCATCCCCAGCTTCGTCGGCCTCTACTTGAACGACCAAGTGACTTTGCTGAAGTACGGGGTGCACGAGGCCATCTTCGCCATGCTGGCCTCTATCATGAACAAGGACGGGCTGCTGGTGGCCAACGGGAACGGCTTTGTGACCCGCGAGTTCCTGCGCAGCCTGCGCAAGCCCTTCAACGAGATCATGGAGCCCAAATTCGAGTTTGCTGTGAAGTTCAACGCGCTGGAGCTGGATGACAGCGACCTGTCTCTGTTTGTGGCTGCCATTATCCTGTGTGGAGGTGAGCGGGTGCTCTCGGCCCTGCGGGAGTCAGGAGGAGCCCTTGAGGGGGCTGGGGAGGGCTGGGTTTCAGCTTCAGCAGGGGTTTTGCTGGCTGAGATCAGCCAGGGGTGTCCTAGGGGAGCAGGAGAAGAGCTGAATAGTTCTGACATCAGAGATTCTCCACGGCAGCGATGCCAGGCACACTGGGACCTGGCGTCATCCCTTTCTCACAGGCTGCTGTGGGACACGTGCTCCGAGGGCACGCGTTTTTCTCGTTGTCCCATTGACCAGGCTGGAGTCCCCGTGGGTGGGTTTCCCATCTCCACACCTCCAGGAGCATCCTGTGCTTCGGAGGGCCACCCCGTAACGCCCCGCTGCCGTGCTTCTTCCCCGCAGACCGTCCTGGCCTGATGAACGTGAAGCAGGTGGAGGAGATCCAGGACAACATCCTGCGGGCGCTGGAGTTCCACCTGCAGTCCAACCACCCCGATGCTCAGTACCTTTTCCCCAAGCTGCTGCAGAAGATGGCCGACCTGCGGCAGCTGGTGACGGAGCACGCCCAGCTGGTGCAGAAGATCAAGAAGACGGAGACCGAGACCTCCCTGCACCCTCTCCTTCAGGAGATCTACAAGGACATGTACTAAGGACCTGTTATTTATGAGAATGAAGCCATTGGATTCCCGGCGGGACTCTTTGTACAAACACAAAGAAAACCTTTCCCCGTGGTGTCTTCCGTTCCTTCTACTGGAAACTCTTTTTCTACACGACCCCACCGTACGGTACACAGGGCAGGACGCCGTAAGATTTTGCAGCCGCCACCTGGCCGGCCGGGGCTTCCCTTAACACACACTAACAAATTCAGAGGCAAACCCTAAGCCACCGTTTCCGTTACTACAGCCCTGCTCCTCAGCTGCTCCCCGGGGCCCTGCAGCGGCCGGGCGTGGGCAGCGGGGTTCCTGCGGCAGCCTGGGGGCAGCGGGGCTGCTCTGGTTGTCCAGAGGTCACCGAGCAGGGCCAGCAGCAGCACTTAGAGCGTGTCTCGGTTGTCTTTTTTTTTTTTGTATTGCACTCCGAAGATGTGGTCCTGAGCCGTGAAGTCTAGGGCAGTGTCACAAAAAGGAAGTTTCTCTCTTTTCCCAAAGAAAAAAAAAAAACAAAAACAGAGTATTTGAAGACGGGTACAGCTGTCCTCACACACACCCGCAGCTGCAGTGCCCTCACTGTGCCCCCAGTGCCCCCGCTCCGGAGGAACCTGCCCCTCAGCAGCTCCATGTGAGGAGGGAGGGACGTGGAGAAGGGAGGGAAGGGTTTGACTCACAAAAATCCACCTGTGGAGCAGAGGCCAAGGTCTCTTTGCTTTCCCAGGCTGTTCTGCACAGACCGAAGCTCCAAAAACGTCTGCATGGGGCCAGGGCCAGGTCTGGGGCTGTGCAAGGTTGGGAGGAGGCAGCGGGGCTCGTGCCTTGTCCTGCAGCTCCCTTCCCAAGGTGGGGCCGTGGGGCAGAGGCGCTGAGCTCCCTGCGAACACCAGAGCGAGCAAAGCCTCCGGCAGCACCAGCACCAGGAAAGTCACGGCCAGCCCGCAGAGCCCGGCACTGCGAGGGGACATCAACTGGGACAGGGGAAGGGAACACGGGGCAGGAGGGTGCCACAAAGGGCTCGGATCTGATGATCCCACTCTGTCCAGGCTGTGGGACCAGCCTGGAAGGCTTCAAATTGGGGAACAGCAGCGTTAGGGAGAGCAGGAGCTGGCTGCAGCCCAGCCTGGTGTTGTTGCTGCCCGACTGCGTGGCCTTCAGCCCCTCTTAATGGCCGTGCCTCAGTTTCCCCTGCTGGGGAAGGGAGCCACACTGTCACCTGCCCTCTGCTCCGAGGGGAAATAAGAGGATTTAACAAGTGCCCTGGTTGCAAGGAGCCTTGCAGCTGTGACCCCCGGTCTAAATGCCTCAAAGTATTCCTCAAAGGCGAGGGAGAGGGCGGCTGCTCGCAGGGCGCTGTGCCGGGGAAGTTCCCCTGAGCGAGGAGGGGGCAGCTTCAGGCTCCGTGCCCTGCCCAAGCCCCGAGCAGCTCCGGGGCTTCACCTCGCATCCCCAGCAGCCTTATTCAAACACCGATAATCCCACGGGGGGGCACGGGAGCGGATTAATGGGTTTTGTGTTCCTCCTCTTCAGGGTAGTGGCTTTCCCTGGTGCAATAATCCCTTTGGAGAGCCGCAGGGCTGGCAGCTCCCAAACCCCTGCCGCTGCCCTCGGGCTCCTCACCGTGCCTCGGTTTCCCTGCCCGCAGCCCGCCCGGCCCCTTCCCGTGGCCCTACCTCGCGGGGAAGTTAGGAATTACCTTTCTAAAGCACTTTGAAGTCCTCTGGGGAAGGCACTGCAGACGCACGCTGCACCCAGCCCGGGGGATTTGGCCCCAAAGCCCCCCCAGTGGCACCCGGGGCTCGCGTGCCCGTTACCTGGGGAGCTTTTTCCTCTTCCCCCCCCTCCCCGGCAGCGTAACAACCCTCAAACTGAAATGTATATTTTTGCTAGAAGTACAAGCCTCCAAGTGTTTTTAATAATATAAATAGTGCCCATGAACTGACTTGACTTTAAATAAATCGCAACTAAATATTTAAGAACCTCTGAGCATCCGGCCCTTCTTTGCGGGATCCCTCTTGAGCCCTGGGGGGGGGTTTCTAACCCAGGGGCTGGGGGTTGCTGGCACTGTCCCCTGCACCCCATTCCCCTCCGCCAGCCCCTTGGGGGCCCCAAATCGAGGGGTGCGGGTGGGAGCCAGGCTCTGTTTGGGGTCCCCGTGCGGACAGGACCCCCCCAGCCCCCTGACAGCACTAGGAGCAGCAGGGCAGGGGTTAAGCTGATTAAGGTGAGGGTTGCTCAGGTGGGAAGGGGTGTGCCCACCCCACCAAAGCCATAAATACCTCCGGGAGGGTCCTGGCCCTACAAGCAGCCAGAGGAGATGGAGGCAGGCTCAGCATCAGGGGCGTTAAGGGCCCGGGGGGGCTGCCCGAGACCCCTGTGCAGGTAGGGCTGGGTGAGGGGGCTGCGGGAAGGGCTCCGGGGGGAGATGGGCTGCGGGACCCTCAAGGAGGGGCAGAGAGAGGCTTGTGACAGCCCTGAGCATCCCCCTGCTGTCTCCCCCAGAAGTTGTGGGGCTGGAGAGTGCAGTGCTGGGGGTCCTGGCCAGGCTCCCCCCTCCCCACCAGCCCCACACCAAGAGCTGCTGCTGCCTTCTGCCCCTCCTGGGGGGCTGCCCCAGCCCCCTCTGCCCTGATCCCCCCCCAGGAGAGCCCCCGGGGTTGAGCAGCAACTGCTCAGCCCCAGCCCAGCCCCTGGGCTCTGTTTGCTTTGCAATTAGCCAGGAGATAATTAGCTGGATGGGAAAATGTGGCCGCATCCAGGCACAGCCAGCACCTGGGGGGGGATGTGCCCAGCCCCTGGCTTTTGGGGTAACCGGGGCTGGCCCCAGCCCTTGGCCATGCATTTTTTTCCCAATTTGCAGGAATTTTGCCCGTGGATTTTGCCGGTGGGGCCGCAGCTGCCGCTTCTCCCACGACCCCAAATCGGCCCCGCGGTGCCGCTACTTCCAGAGCGGGGCCTGCGGCTACGGCGAGCGCTGCAGGTGAGGGGCACCCGGTGCCACCGGGACGGGGGGGCCAGGAGGTGCCGTGTGGGGCTGACCCCTCTGTCCCTCTGTCTGTCTGTCCATCCCCGGCCTCCTCCAGCTTCCAGCACGTCCAGGAGGAGCCGGTGCCGGCCGGGAGTCGCCACAGCCCCATGCCCAGCGTGGCCCCCGGTGCCTGGCACACCTGGGTCCCCGCTGTCCCCATGCGGGCGGACTTCAGGCTCCCAAATGTGGAGGTTGAGGAAGAAGAGGATGATAAAGAGAACATCCCAGCGCTGAGCAACGCCTCGGGGCGAGCTGTTCCGGAGGAATTCATCCCCTGGAGAGCTCGGGGTGCTGCAGGTAGGTGCTGGCTGCCCCGGGGAGCAGCAGGGCTGGGGGTGTTGGGGGTTGTGGTAGGGCATCCTGAGCACACCGACCCTTGAGCCAAATCCCCTTCCCTCTATCTCTGGGCAGGGCCCAGCTGGGGCTGTGGAAACCCCTCCTGGCTGCTTTTTTAGGGTGGGGACCTGAACTGCTGAGCCCGTTCCCTGCAAGCAGCTGGCCTGGCCCTTTGATGAGGGGTTGGGATGTGTTTCCCTAACAGCTCTCCTGCCTGCAGGCTCCCACCCACCAGGGCTGGGACTGGACCCAAACTCCCCCAACCCCAGAGAGGCAGCGGTGGAGACGGCAACGTGGGCTGAGCACTCAGAGGTGGGCTCGGGAGGGGGTCTCCAGTGGCTGGGCTGCCCCCATCACCCCGTGTCGGTCCCACAAGCTGGGGCAGGGATGGAGCAGGGGCTGCAACGCCGCGCTGCTCTGCTCGCAGGTCCCCATGGAGCAGGGGGCTGCGGCAGCCCCTCTCCCTGCCGCGGAGCTGAGGGCACGCAGCGAGGCCGTGGTGTGCGGCATCTGCATGGAGCGGGTGTCCGAGAAGGCGCTGCCGGAGGAGCGGCTCTTTGGGATCCTCCCAAACTGCAGCCACGCGTTCTGCCTGGGCTGCATCCGCACCTGGCGCCGCAGCCGGGACTTCCAGAGCGCGGTCATCAAGTGAGCACACGGGGGGGGCGTTCAGGGCAGCGTGGGGACGGTCACTGTGCCCTATTCTGCATCCCCAATTCCTTCCTCGGGTCTGGTGGTGCAGCTCCTGGGAGCTGGGATGGGGACGGGACGTGGCTGTGGTGGTGGGATCCCGTGTGGGTCCTGAGCCCTGCTGGGGGCTGTTTCCCTTCTGGAGACCCCCCAGCACGCGTTGCCTTCACCCAGGGCTTGCCCGGAGTGCCGGGTCACCTCCAGCTACTACATCCCCCACAAGTACTGGGTCTCGGATGCGGGCGAGAAGGAGCAGCTCATCGAGCGCTTCAAGGCGCGGACGGGGTGAGTGCGCAGCACGCTGGGCTCTGTGCTGTGCCAGGAGCCGTGCTTACAACCGGGCTTTGAATCCTGCAGGAAAATCAGGTGCAAGTTCTTCCTCCAGAACCGCGGCCGCTGCCCGTTCAGGTCGGACTGCATCTACCTGCACGAGCTGCCCGGCGGCCGGCCACCGCGGCGCGGTCCACAGCGGTCAAGGATAAGAGCTGTAAGTGGGGAGATGCGTCCTGGGGGGGCCCTGGGGTGCCCCATGAGATGTGTCCTGGGGGGCCCTGGGGCACCACGTGGATGCCCGACATGGCTCAGGCTGGGGCTCCCGCTCTGTCCTGTGCTGCAGGAGCTGAATCCCTCTCCCTTGGGGAGCTCGGAGGAGGAGGAGGACTTCTGCCTGCTGGGCTGGGCCGTCACCAGGGCCTTGCTGGAGGTGGACTCCCTCTACTCAAGCTATTCCTACGAGATGCTCTTCGGGGACTCCAGTGACTCCGACTAAACCTTGGGACCCCCCCACTGAGCCTTGGGTGCTCTTGGTGCCAGGGAGCTGCCTGCTGGGGGGGCAGCCAGCTGCTTTTAATGGGTTCGGCTGCTCCTGGCTTGGGTTTGGAGTGGCTGTGGGTATGGAGGGTGCTGCAGGGGCAGGGTGGGATGGGGAACGTGCTCTGGCTGGAGCCCCAGGAGGCTGGTGGTGATGGAACCGCAGGGGTTTTGGGGCACGCAGCCCCCTCCCCGTACCCCCTTCCCCTGGGATGGGGGCAGTGGGGTTTTTAATGTACAGATTTGGGGGTGGGGAGGGCACCGTTTTTACGCTGCTTTTAGCCAAACTTTTGGAAATCGTGCAATAATAAAAACGTGCTGTGGCAACGCTGCCTGCGCCCCCTGCTTCCCGGGGGGGGCACAGAGGGGCTGCGAGCCGGGAGGGTTTCCCTTTAAGGGCTTATTTGCATAAGGCACGCACGTGGGGTTCATTTGCATACAGCGCGCGCTCTTTCCGCGGGAAAGGGCCCGGAGGGGCGCGGGTGGGCTCCGGGGGGCGGGGAGGGGGCTGCGGGTGCCCCCATTTCCCCTATTTTGCCCCCCGGTGGGTGCCTTCCGGGCTCTGGGCTCTCATGGGGGAGCTGTGGGTGCTGTGGTGGTTTATTTGGGGTTGGCCCTGCTCCTTGGGGTGCTCGCTGTACCCACGCCCCCCCCCATTTCCCCCTCCCCAGCTGTGGGGAGCCCCCCAAAGCCCCGCAGCCACTGGGGGCGCACCCATGGGTTTGCTCCGGGGCTGGGGGTGCACGGACCCTCCCAGCACCCTTCTGGGTGCCCGGTGCCCCCCGGTTTTCCCGTAGGCTCTGCGGAGCCCCCCCGGCAGTGATGGAGCTCCCCTGGCTGAAGCTCCTGGCCCGGCCCTGCCGCCTCCTGCTCCATGCTCTGGCCTCGGGCCCCTCGGGGCCGCTGGCTGCCCTCCGCGTCCTGCAGCGGGTCCAGGCCCAGGAGGGACCATTCCCCTGGCAAGGCTTCACGGCCGCCCTGTGCATGGAGGAGCCCACGCTGGAGGGGCCGGAGGAGGCCCTGGCTGTGTGAGTCGGCTGCGATCCCAAAACCCGGGATGGAAGGGGGTTTTTGGGACATCGGGTGTCCAATTCCCATGTGTCCTCTCCCCTCTGGTGCAATGGGCTGTGGGTGATGCCCGGGCTGTAGCAGGGAGCCGCTGCTTTTCCAGCTTGTCTGCAAAAACTGGTGGAGGGGTTGGCAGTTTCCTCGGATTTTCTGTGCCCTTCAGACCCCTCTCCATGGGTGGGGTGGGCACGTAAGGACTTGGGGCCATGCAGGACTTTGCTCTGATGCGCTCCTTCATTTTCTCCCCTCTTCCAGCAAACCACGGCTGCTGCTGCTCCCTGTCGTGTGCCAGAGAAACCTCTTCTCCCTGCTGCAGGCGGTGGCAGCGGTGGTGCCAGCGGACTGCGTCCTCCAGCTGCTGCGGGCTGCGAGGGGGGACCCCAACCTGGACCCCTGGGTGCAGGCACTGGGGGCCCTGCTGCAGCGGGGGCTGCGGGGTGAGGAGCTCTCCCCTCCACCCCCTGCCCTGACAGCAGCCTGCCGGCAGCAGCTCAAGTGCCTGTGCCAAAAAATCGCCCCGAGCAAACCGGAGGGGCAAAGAAAACTGACGTGGTGCCCCAGCGAGCAGCTTGGTGCCGCAGGGGACGCGGCTGACTCTATGCTCCCAGGTGGGAAGCGCAAGAAAGTGTCCGAGGAGAGCCTGGAGCTGGATGAGGGGAGAGGAGGGAAGAGGGTGCTGCTGGAGGAGGTGGTGTTTGACCTGCCGGGAAGCCAGGACGGAGAAGATGAAGCAGGGGTGGAAGAGGTGCCTGAGGAGACTACGGGGGACAGATCTGCTCAGAGCACGGCTGGGGCTGCTCTGAAAAGCTCCCAGCAGGATGCAGCTGGGGAGCCCGGCAGGATTTCTCAGACAGAGGTGGCAGCTGAGGTCCAGTCCTTTATCCAGGTGCTGGGGAGGTTTTCAGATTTTGGGGGGTTTCTTGGCCTCATCCTAGGTGAATTTTCTCAGTATGAGGGAAATCCAGCTCCATGCTAGATCTGTGCACTCCCCTCCCCAAACCTCTCCTGCCTAGTGGAGAGGTGGATGCTGTTCTGGGAGCATCCTTGTGTCTCCTGGGGACACCTCTGAGCCTCACAGCAGAGGAAAAGTCCCCTGGGAGCCTTCAGGCTGCTGCCTCCCTAAGGGGCTGCTGCTGTGTGCATGGCACGGGTACCTTAGAGACAAATAATTCTCATTTGGGGATACTGCTCCTAGGCAAGGAGCCCAAACTCCCTGCAGACTGACAGCAAGCTGCAGCTGTGGGGCTGTGCTGGTTTTTCTAAGGGCGTTGTGATTTTCACCTTCCCTTTTAAAAGATGGCTGTGCAGGGCTGGTGCTTGGCGCCAGATAGCTCTGTTGTCCAGCTTCAAAACAGCAGGATGTTGAAAATTGCTGTGCAAATAAGAGGTGTCATTAGTTACCTTTGAACTTACCCTCCTAAAGTGCTTTTCCTAGAAATCAGGAAGCAAACTGAGCCAGCGACTCCCTACCTGAGGGTTTTCCTCCCCCTTTCCAGCCAGTGAATGTTTAGTCTCATCTCTTTCCCTTTACTGTGTTTTCCTCAGATGCATGGACCGAGGCTGAAAATGCTGCTGCTGCAAGAGTCCAATGTAAGTGTTTTGTTTGTTTTTTGTTTTCTTTTGGCCTTTCTCATTGCTGCAGATGGGTTAAATGGGCTCATTTGAGGGCCTCCAGAAGGGATGGGAGAGGAGATGGGTTTCTCAGGGACGACTGATTAAAAAGACAGCTCAGCTGCCAGCTCTGCAGCTTGTGGGGTCAGTGCTGGCTGAAGTGGGGAGGTGGGAGGGAAGAGGGAAGCCCTAGAGCTGTATTTTGGGTTTGGTTTGGTGCGTTACCCAGGGGTTGTGTTTCCTTGCAGCGCTCAGAGCTGAGCATCCCACCCGAGCTGCGTGTCCTCAGCCACTGCTCTGCTAGCCAGGTGAGCATCGGTGTCCTCATAGCTGCAAAGGGCCTGCCGCTGCCCCTAACGTCCCCGTCCCCTCTGCTGTCCCCAGCTCGAGGGGTTGTGCTCCTTCCTCCAGCTTTCCACGTGCCCAGAGCAGCTCCTGGTGCGGTTCTGTGGCTGGCTGCTGGCTCTCACACCCGACCTCAGCTACGCCAGCGCAGCCGTCCTGGCTGAGCAGCTCTTCCTCAAGCGAGTAAGTGCCTGGGCAGAGGTTTCCAAGATTGTCTCTGCCCTATTTTCTCCCCTGTTTCCTTACCTGCAGTCCCCACCTCCGATTTTTTTTCTCTCCACAGGTCCTGTCCCTCACGCAGCCGCCCTCCCGCCACCTCATGGCTGCCCTCACCTCCTTCTGCTCCAAGTACTCCCAGCCCTTCTGTCAGGTCCTGGTGGCTCCAGTGCTGCGGGAGCCAGGGGAAGGTGTGTTGGGCTCGAGCCCTCCTGTGGGCTGCCCTCATGGGACACACGGGTGCTTTTGGGGACAGCTGGAGGGAGGCTGTGGTCTGTGAAGGGCTGTACCCAGTGGGCAGGGAAGCTTGAACTGCAGGGTGCTGTCTCTGAGGGCATTTATCACCTAAAATGTGTGTTAGGACCCATGGAAATAGTGCTGGTGTAATCTGGGCAGGTGAGCACTCAGAATTTGGGAGGGAAGATGGGTTTACAGGTGCCTGTATGCACAGGGAGGCAAAGCCAGTTTCCAGCATCAGGTCTCCTGGAGGAAAGCTGCCATCCCTCCACAGGCTTGGGGATTTTTGGCAACTGCTAATGCTGGGCCAAAACCTCCCTGAGGGGAGGCATTGCTGGCACAGGAAGAGAATCCTGCATGGACCTTCACCAGGGCAGCATCCCCTGTTGCTGGGGGGACTGCTGGCAATTAAACCTTTTGCCACAGATGGCTGAAGATAGCTGGATTATCTGAGCCCTAGAAGGGGTGCACAACATGCCTGCTGATTTCTGGGTGTCCTGACTGGGTCGAAGGGGTAACAGGAAGGGCCAATCCACAATCCTTGTGGATTTGGCAGCCTCTGCTTTGCTCCTGCAGGTGTTGAACAGACCAAGCTGCTGTGTGAGCTCGTGGAGGAGTGCCTGGAGCCTGACTACGTGAGACTGGTGTTGAGGTAAGAGATCAGGAGCTGAGCTCTGCCCTGCAGATCCAGGGACCATGCAAGCAGCATGGCACATCTCTTCCTCACTGTCCTTTTAGTCAGGTCCTGGAGGTTCCTCTGTCGGAGAGGCTGCTGCCGGTGGTGCTGGCTGTGCTGGGGAGGCAGGTGAGGGCCCGGTGCCTTGCAGATCCCCAGCTGGCTCCAGCAGCAATGGCCAGCAATCCTCCCCACTCCCATCCCTCTCACAGGAGGCGCTGCCCCCCGAGCTCTTTGACCTCCTGGTGCTGACGCTGTGCCGGCAGGCCCCAGCCTTCGCCACGTCGCTGAGTTATGCCAAGCTGGTGACAGCAGTGCTCACCATGTACCAAAGCCATGTGAGTAATGCCTGGCGTGCTGCTGCTGTCTGGTGTTTCCTGGCTCTGGGGGGCAGGTGGGAGGCTGAGGGGCTGTCAGCGGGGCTGCAGCTGAGCCAGGACCTGGCCCTGGGGTCTCTTCTTCCCATTGCAAGGAATAGATGCCCCGAAGGACACGGGGCTCTGCTGGTGTGATGTGGCTCAGAGCCCATTTGAGCTCCTTGCTGCTCTCCCCCCCAGGTCACACCAGCCCACCGCAGCCGCCTGGCAGCTGCTCTGGAAGGCAGCAATGCAGCCCTAAAGAAATCTCTGCAGGCTGTGCTAGGAGCCAGGTGAGGAGCGTGTCCCTGCCTGGGCTCAGCGGGTTCCCCTGTTTCCCTTTCACTAGGAAATCTTCTGATTTCTCTCCTTTCCTCCTCCCAGGTGAGCACTGAGGGAGCTGCTGCTGGTGTCCTCGCATGGAGGATGCTTGTGGGTCACTCACCAGCATGACAGGAACCCAACGACTGGCTCAAAAAGCAGGGGGAGGCTGCAGGTGTGCCTCTGTCCGGGACTTTGTGTGGTGCTGTGCTTTCAGCTGCCCTGCTGTGAGCGGGGCTGGGGCTGTCGTGGCGTTATCCCAGAGCAGTCACTGTGCTGGGATATGGGTGGCATCTACCCTGGGGTGTGAAGATGAGGGTTTTCTCAGTTAAACGTGAAGTTTCTAGCCTCTCTATGTCTGGTCTCTCTCTGGGCACCTTGACTAAGGTCGTGGAAAGAGGGATGTGTGTGTTGGAGTGTTCTGCGAACGTGTTTCAGGCGATCTGCAGCCACAGCTACCCGCAGTGGGCGCCGCGCTCAATATGGCGGCTCAC